CTCGGGCCATTTATTGATTTTAAAGACTAAGTGAGAAAGTGAAAGAGACAGACAATCAATTTGTTGTTCCACTTATTTATGCAATGTGCCCTGGGTATTTTGAAAAACAGTTAAATATTACTATCATTAGTATTAAGTTATTGTTGATACTGTCAATGGACTGACCACACTTTGAGCAGCAAAGTGCTAGAGTACATACACCTCTTTCTTTGTGGAATTACCCAGGTCCCTTATGTGGGAAAACTTTTACTTTAGGTAGTCACAGATTTGACTTTTTATAGTTGTTTACATTTTCTTTGACTAACCAAATCTGGTAAATCTGCACATTAGCTCTTTAGGTCCTGAGAAAATTATTTCTGGTTCTTTTGGTCCAACATGTAATTAAAACAACTGTCTTGAAATTCTTCATACAATCACTGGTTTCCTAGGCTGTCTGTATAATAATTATTCCTAGAATTAAGTTATCTACTCCTGCAAAACATACTTTTCCCTCTGTTTCATCTGCCATAATCTCCTTTTATATCCAAACCCAGCTTCTTTAGCAACCTCTACACAGGACCTCCATTCCCATTCTGTAGTTTTCTAATTAGAAGTTTAGTTTTCTAACTTCTAGATTTTAATTGTTTGCAGTACATTTACTAGTATAAATGTAATCATATCTAGTAGTGAGCTATACAACATTCAGACAGCAATGCTTTGTCAGAATGCTGGTTTCCCTGGGATCAAATATTTGGAGGGAAATTTTGGATCTTGTATATAGATATTGAATATGATTCTGTTAGAGCTTCCCTAGCTTATTTTTATTTATTTAATATTTTATTTATTTTTTTAAAATATATTTTTATTGACTTCAGAGAGGGAGAGACAGAAATATCAATGATGAGAAGAAACCACTGACTGGCTGCCTCCTGCATGTTGGACCGAGCCTGCAACCCAGGCATGTGCCCCCAACCAGAATTGAACTCAGGACCCCTGGGTCCACAGGCCGATGCTCTAGCCACTAAGCCAAACCAACCAGGGCTAATTTTTTATTTTTTAATTTAAAATCTTTATTGTTGAAAGAATTTAAGGAGACATGTCTCCTTTTTCCCCCATTTACCGCTCCCCACCTGCTCCTGCCCCCAGCAAATGCCCTCACCCCCCTACTGTCTGTGTCCCTTGGTTATGCTTATATGCATGCATACACATCCTTTGGTTGATCTCTTACCTCCTCCCTACCCCCGCCCCCGCCTTCCCTCTAAGGTTTGTCCGTCTGTTCAATGCTTCTATGTCTCTGGATCTATTTTTGTTCACCAGTTTATGTTGTTCATTATATTCCACAAATGAGTGAGATCATGTGATATCTATCTTTCTCCGACTGGCTTATTTCACTTAGCATAATGCTCTTCAGGTCCATCCATGCTGTTTCAAATGGTAAAAGTTCTTTCTTTTTTATAGCAGTGTAGTATTCCATTGCATAGATGCACCTATTTTTTATTTTTTGAAAGTGTAGTTTACTTATTTATTAATATATTTTTGTTGATTTCAGAGAGAGTGTGAGATAGAAACATCAATGATGAGAATCAATGATTGGCTACCTCCTGCACACCCCCTACTGGGGATTGAGCCCGCAACCTGGGCATGTGCCTTTGACTGGAATTGAACCTGGGACCCTTCAGTTCACAGGCTGACACTCTACTGACACTCTACCCACTGAACCAAATTGGCTCGGGCCATTTATTGATTTTAAAGACTAAGTGAGAAAGTGAAAGAGACAGACAATCAATTTGTTGTTCCACTTATTTATGCAATGTGCCCTGATCGGAGATTGAACCTGCAACCCTGGCATAGGGGAACGAAGCTCTAACCAAGTGAGCTATCTAGGCAGGGCCCCTCCCTAGCTTATTTATGCCTTACTTTATTTGGATCATAATATAACTAAGGAATACATACTTCAAGTTTGGATACATTAATGAAATGTGACATATTTATGTTTTCTATATTTAAAATAATATTTTTAAACATAAGTAACTTTTTAAATAAGCTTTTATTGTGAAGTATAAAATATTTGGAAATGATTTTAAGAATTTCAGTTACAATGTTAACAATTCAATATTCTTTACAAGAGAAAGCACCACATTAAAAAATTACCTTCATAAGAAATAATTTAAAATGCATAAAATTATTTAATAGTAATTAGAACATTAGGAGATCATGAAATTCAGAAAATTTTTCTAACCACACATCTAAATCAGGAATCTCAAACTCAGATGTCTTTAGAGTTAAGTAGGAAACACAAAGTAGTGACATGGTCTAACATGAGGGAGTCCAGTAGATTGTGGCAAACAGGAATGCATGCCAATCTGAACACATTTCAAATTTTGAAATATTATGCATACTGGATAAAGCAACTTTGGGCTAAGCTGGCCTGTATTACCTACCAGTTTGCAACTTGGCCTAAATGAATTTCTAGCAGTTTATGTAACAATGCTCAAAATGGCAGACAGCATTGCTTTCTGTGTGTTTGTGTATGTACTTATATATGCGCATATATATTTTGGGGAAGTAGATAAAAACTGTAAAAAAAGGTATTTTGACTTTTTTTTTTTAAATATATTTTATTGATTTCTTACAGAGAGGAAGGGAGAGAGACAGAGAGTTAGAAACATCGATGAGAGAGAAACATCGACCAGCTGCCTCCTGCACATCTCCTACTGGGGATGTGCCCGCAACCCAGGTACATGCCCTTGACCGGAATCGAACCTGGGACCTTTCAGTCCGCAGGCCGACGCTCTATCCACCGAGCCAAACCGGTTTCGGCAGGTATTTTGACTTTGAATAATTAATCAGTTTAGGTAACTGCTATGGTATATTATTTTTTTTGAGAATTTAAGTTTATTTGAGCCAATGGATGACATACTGGGAAACAAAATCTCAAGTGTTCCCCCAGAGATATATTCTTAAAACATTTGGTTAGGAGATGAAATCTTTAAAATACCTTCTTTCACATTTATTTGGGAAAAATTAGTTATGCCCAAGAGTTAATTTAAATGAAATATTAAAATTTCATTCTTTTACCAATAAAAAGTCACACAACATAGTATATTATTGCTTAGTAAGAAATATTTACTACTATGCCATCAATGACTTTAGTAATTTTAAAAGTTTTTAAAAATTAAAATGATGTAGGCATTAGAGTGACAAATCTCCTTCAACCCCTAGAGTGCCGGGGAGCGCGATTGCGCTTCTCCTGTCTTTCGCCAAAAGTGCCGGGAGCGCTATCAAAGCTTCGAAATGGCATCCAGTTCTAAGTCTGCTTTTATTAGTGATGATGATATTGCTAAATATGTCAATGTAGTAAAGGTTTCCTTAAGTTTTTGAATATGTAACTTCATTTACTTGCGATTCATAATTTTTTTCCTAAACTGCTGTAAAATCAGCAAAAATGCCTTGGCAATTTTAGCATAGTTCCTAGGATATTGGTTGGCACTCAAAGGGTTAAAAAGGCTACAAAGGCACATTATAATTCAAATATCCTTACTAGACTAGGAATACACATTTAAATACAATCTATAGATAATACAAATTTCAGATAAATAAAACTCAAATACATTCTAAGCTTTGACACAATACCCAAAAATACTGCCTACTTTTGAGAGTATTTTAGCTCTCAGCTTCAGAAGTCTATAATAAAAAGAAAGCACCAAATCTAGCCATGTAATTTTTCAATTAAAAAAAGTTATTAGTTATATCTTTTCTGTAAAGTTTATTTAGGATGGATTGATTTCATTATGGCCATTAATTTTTGAAATTAAAAAGTCAAAATGGTTACATTCTTGGCCTAAATAGTGAAGTTAGATATATCAGGGTTTGCAAACCCAGAGTAGATATATATATAAGAAAATGTTAAGACACGATGTCTCAATTAATGCAATAGTTATTTCCACTGATCATGAATTGAAAGTTGTTAAATAGAAATACACTTGGCTTTTTTCCCCCTAACCCAATATTAGGCATTTATAAAGTTTAGCCAAGTCTTTTGCATCATGTCTGCATTCCCACATTCATTTTAATTACTAAAAGCACTTATATACAAAACAATCAGGATTTTTTAGAATTCAAAGTTAACAGGGATTTCATACATCATAAGTATTTCCATGGCAGAAAATTAAAGAGGAAAATAAGATTATAAATGCGCTATGGATCCACAAAAGAAATAAACATGTTTCTCAAAGCAAGTCAGTAGAAATATCATATAAAGGTATACAATACAAGCTGATGTATTACAAACTTTGACTTAGCAGCTCTGTATAAATCAATACAGTTTCTGTGAATACATTTATTTTAATTTATTAAACTAATCATAATTAAAAATGTAAAGTTTTCATAAGTAGAAATATTGAATATTTGGGAGTCCCACAAACAATAACAAAATACTTCAACATTATTTCATCCCAACATTGGTTTAAAGTTATTCAAATGCATTCAAAGACTATAGTTGACTGACCTGTAACACTGAATTCCAGACTAAATAGATAGCAATGAGATATACACTGAGTGGCCAGATTATTATGACCACCCCATCAGTACTTCGTTGGGCCACCTTTTGCCTTCAATACTGAGGCGATTCTTCTTGGCATTGACTCCACTAGATGCTGAAAGGTGATTCGAGGAATCTGACACCATGCCTGATGAATAGCACTGTCCAGTTCTGTGAGATTTGATGGTTGTGGAAGCAGCTGCCTGATGGCTCTTTTAACTTCGTCCCACAAATGCTCAATTGGATTGAGATCTGGTGATTGTGGGGGCCACCTAAGCAAGGTAAAGTCTCCCTCATGTTCTTGAAACCACTCCTGCACAATACGAGCACTGTGGCATGGCACATTGTCTTGTTGGAAGAAGCCATCTCCATTGGGATACGCCATCAACATGATAGGATGAACTTGATCAGCAACGATACTTAGGTATGTTGTGCTATTCAGACGTTTATAATGATCTGGCCCTCTAGCAACTTCAGCGTGAAATTATAGCTAATTTGCCTACAAATGTCAGGTGGTCATAATAATATGGCCACTCAGTGTATAGTGCTGTCTTACTGATTTCACATCATCAAAGGATGAAACTCCTTTTGTGAGAAACATGATGGCCATACTGGTTACATACAGTGATCCAATCAGTTAGCATATTTGTGCAGAAAGCGTTCAAATGCATCATAGATGGCTCGTCTAAAAGAAAAAATGAAAAACTAAAAGTAATTAGCAATAAAAGGGGGAGCATACATTGCTTTTACTTTAAGTTATTTCCAAAATTACCTTTGGCTTGCAACCTGACCTCCTCTCTAAAGAGCTGTGAAAGAGGCAAGTACCTGAAAGGTGGGTGTTAGGATCCATTAATTTCACCACTACTGGAAAACTTCAAATGTATTTCCAACTGATGATGTGTTCAGCACCATTTTTTCCTGTGAAGCAACTTTTTTGGTGCCTTAGGGTTTATATAATATATATGTATTCATATATGTATAATACATAAAATGATAAAAGGATAAGGAAACTGATTTCTTTTTATTTTGTCACTTGTTGAATATCAACTTTCTACATAACTTAAATCTATTTCATAGATTATGATATAGTACCTTTTCTTTATTAAAACATGTTCCTAGCAACTGAACTTAAAATCAAAAGCCTTAGTTTTCCACATTAATTTTACTAGGTACTTTATGTGGAAAGGAAGAGTCAAATTCACTGCCCATTAAAAGACACTGTTTTCAACGCTTATTAATTTTTTTCACATTGTGAGAGCCTACATTTTTATTTATTTATTTTAAAATTTAAAAAATGTTTTATTGATTTTAGAGGGTGAGAGAGAGAGATAGAAACATCAGTAAGAGATAAACATCGAAGAGCTGCCTCCTGTACACCCTCTACTAGGGATTAAGCCCCCACTACCCAGGCATGTGTCCTGACTAGGAATTGAACCAGTGACGTCTTGTTTCATGGGTTGATGCTCAACCACTGTACCACACTGGCCAACATTTTTCAAGTACAATGTTCAGAAAATCCAAAAACAAAAAGGGGAAAAAGTCATAATCCCATCATTCTAAAGCAGCGGTTCTCAACCTGTGGGTCGAGACCCCTTTGGGGGGTCGAACGACCCTTTCACAGGGGTCGCCTAAATACATCCTGCATATCAGATATTTACATTACGATTCATAACAGTAGCAAAATTACAGTTATGAAGTAGCAACGAAAATAATTTTATGGTTGGGGGTCACCACAACATGAGGAACTGTATTAAAGGGTTGAGGCATTAGGAAGGTTGAGAACCACTGCTCTAAAGTATCTACTGTAATGTTATCATATATTTCCGACAAGCTAGTGGGTTTTTTGTTGTTTTTTTGTCAAGGGAAAGGGAGAGACAGAGAGAAACATCCATGTGAGATAGATACATTGATTGGTTGCCTCCTGCATGTACCCTGACCTGGGCGGGGGAGGGAGCCTGCAACTGAGGTATGTGCCCTTGACCGGAATTGAACCCTAGACTCTTCAGTCCTCAGGCCAACATTCTATCTATTGAGCCAAACAGGTTTGGGTGAGGCTTGTTTTGTTTAAATCCATACATTTATATTTCCACCCAGTTTAAATAATAACTATGAGAATATATTAATTCTGTATCCTACTTGGACAAAGCATTTCTCCATATCCTTAAAAAAGATAGTAAGATTATCTTTAAAACTGAAACTGGGAGCCTACTAATAGATTGACTTCCAGTATGTTGGGAAGACATAGCTTTTTATCACACTTGTATTTGTCTCAGATATTTGACCTTTGTAAAATGTAACAATGATAAGGGAAACAAACTAATGATGAACATTTGCACGTTGGTGTAAGCACATAAAGTGATTTTGTTGACTGCAGGTGAGAATTTCCCCCTGAGAGTTAGTCCTGGGTACTTGCTCTACTACAATGAATTTCTTTTTTAAATATATTTTTATTGATTTCAGAGAGGAAGGGAGAGGGAGAGATGGAAACATCAATGATGAGAATCATTGACTGGCTGCCTCCTGCATGCCCCCTACTGGGGATTGAGCCCAAAATCCAAGCATGTGCCCTTGACTGGAATCGAACCCGGGACCTTTCAGTCCACAGGCCGACGCTCTATCCACTGAGCCAAACCGGCTAGGGCGACAATGAATTTCTTTTACTTCCTGATGCCTAAAGTTGCAATCTGGGCTTGGGTACATGATATGAGGAAGAAAGGTATGCATATGCCTATTTAATAATTTGAAGAGTCTCTCTCTTTTTTTAAAAAAATAATATATTTTATTGATGTTTTACAGAGAGGAAGGGAGAGGGATAGAGTTAGAAACATCGATGAGAGAGAAACATTGATCAGCTGCCTCCTGCACACCTCCCACTGGGGATGTGCCTGCAACCAAGGTACATGCCCTTGACCGGAATCGAACCTGGGACCTTTCAGTCCTTAGGCTGACGCTCTGTCCACTAAGCCAAACCGATTAGGGCTGAAGAGTCTCTTGTTCACTTGTATTATTAATCAATTGTAAATATCAACATAAAATAAAAGAGCACATAAAGGAGGCTTGTGTTACATCTGGTGACTGAAAAGAATGAATTTTTTTAAGATTCTACTCCAGTGACATCCAAACTTTGTTAGGTTTTGAAGTGACTGGGGGTAGGAGTAGGAGGGTGAGAGTGGTTTAGGGAGAACAAATAGCTAGTGACTCCACCTAAGCAATTTATTCACTCCCCTCCCCCTATTTCTGTATAAAGGAGTTAATAACATATGAAGCAACTGCTCTAGTACTTGGCACATGGTAACAGCTAATCTCTCTTTCTCAAATGAAGCCTTTCAATGAGCATTTCTGAGTTTTCACAGCTGACTATGATTCTTCTTCCTAATGCCTCTCAGCCACACTCCCACTTAGATACATAAAAGACAAACATAAATTTGACACCGATTTACTAAAGCAATCATGCGGGTTCTCTGATTCACAAATATAACAGAACTTTAGACTCCTCTTGAGCAACCTGAGCAACCCTAGGTACTCACAATTTTTGTTTGTTTGTTTTTTGTTTTACTTTTGCTGTGCCAGAAAGTCACATTGGGTCAGTAGTGTACTCACCTACCAACTAACAGGGACTCAAATGCCAAATGCTGAATATATTTTTTAAGAAATCATACAATAAAAAGAAAGGTTTATTACATGCTTCAGTATATTACAAACTTAAAGAATTAGTCTGTACCTAAAAAAGGTGACACAAGTTGAAATAATTAAGTAACTATACAAAGAAGTATTTCTTAGATTAAAAATAATTTAAGCCCTGACCGGTTTGGCTCAGTGGATAGAGCATCAGCCTGCAGACTGAAGGGTCTCAGGTTCAAGTCTGGTCAAAGGTATGTACCTTGGCTGCGGGCGCATCCCCAGTGTGGGGTGTGCAGGAGGCAGCTGATCGATGTTTCTCTCTCATCGATGTTTCTAACTCTATCCCTCTCCCTTCCTCTCTGTAAAAAAATCAATAAAATATATTTAAAATAATAATAATTTAAAATGTCAAAAACAGAGAAAAAAAGTACCATATGATTTCATGCATATGTGGAATTTAATGAACAAACTGAACTACCAAGCAAAATAGAGACAGACTCATAGATAGAGAGCAGGCAGACAGCTCTTGGGGGAGGGGACATCGAGGGTGGATGGTGGAAGGACTGAGCAAAAAGGAAAAAAAAGACCGCATAGACACAGACAACAATGTGGTGCTTGCAGGGGTAGTGGATGGAGGTGTAAGAGGGCATAGAGGGGATAAATAGTGATAGAAAAAAATAAAATCAAACATATACCACTCTCAATTTTTCTATTATATAGCTATCCAGCTGGAAATTTTGGGACACTTATTACCCACAGGGCACTGACCTAAGCACCTTATGTGAACTAATTTATTCAACCACTAATAATAAATTCCAATGACACCTTTTATCATAAAATTTGAATGAAAGTTGAAATAATGCAGGATACCAAAAAACAAGTTACAGCATACAAGTTTTTATAAGTTCTAACAAATACTGGAGTCATAAAATTACTAATACTGCCTGGCCGGTGTGGCTCAGTGGTTGAGTGTCAACTCATGAACAAGAAGTCACTGATTCAATTCTGGGTCAGGGCACATGCCTGGGTTGTAGGCTCGATCCCCAGTAGGGGGCGTGCATGAGGTAGCCAATTGATGGTGTTTCTCATTGATGTTTCTCTCTATCCTTCTTCCCTTCCTCTGTCTAGAAGAAAAATCACCCTAGCTGGTTTGGCTCAGTGGATAGAGTGTCGACCTGTGGACTGAAGGGTCCTGGGTTCGATTCTGGTCAAGGGCACATGCCTGGGTTGCAGGATCAATCCCCAGTAGGGTGCATGCAGGAGGCAGCTGATCAATGATTCTCATCATTGATGTTTCTATCTCTCTCTCCCTTCCACTCTGAAATCAACAAAAATATATTAAAAAGAAAAAAAAATCATCAAAAGCATTTAAAAACAAAAACGTTACTAATATTGAAACCAATACTTGTCTTCTCATTTTAAGGTTCAATTTTCACTTGCTACTAAAAACCATTGCTAGATTATTCCACAGTTGCTCAGTCATTCTGAGAGATGGACACCAGTGTGGAGTGAAAAACCTAGGGAAGTTTTACAAACCCTGGTGTCCCTCCATATTCTCTAAAATACCTGGCCATTGACATCTAAAGAGGGTAAAATCAGATAATAAAGCATGCCTATCATATGCTACTTCCTAGTTCTCTAGAAGAAAAAGAAAATAAGAGGACAAGAAAGGAAAGAGTGTGAATTGAGGAAACAAGGAAGAAACAAGAGGACCTAAAGGATACAATAAAAATACCCATTATTGTATGTCAAAAAAAATAAAAAAAGAAACAATAAACAGACACCTGTTTACACCAAACATCTTACCTGAAGACTCCTTGTTTGAACAGATAAGCACTAATATGACCCCCTTCTAGATATCGGATTTCACAACCAGGCCAAATTTCTTGCAGACTTCGAACTCCAGTTCGTGGAATATATGCATCTTCTTTGGCTTGAACCACTATAATGAGGCTTGGGTCTACTGGAACTAGGTACAAGATTTTAAAAAATGCAAGAAAATCTCTAAGATTTTTATACATCCTATTAAATTGTATCTACACTAATAAAAGACAAACATGCAAATTGACTGTACATTCACTACACCTTAAGCCACGCCCACCAGCCAATCAGAGTGGCTATATGCAAATTAACTCAACCAAGATGGCGGCCGGCAGCCATGGAGCTGGAGCAAGCAGGAGGCTTGGTTGCCCCAATGATGGAGGAAGCCAAGCTTCCCGCCTGCCGCGGCCCCGGCTCTGAGCTCCACTCAAAGCAACAAAGTTTCAATTATAGAAGATAAATAAACCCCAGA